GCACAACACCAAACGTCTCAGGGCGGGGAGGCCTTCAAAGGTGCACCCATCATCTTCTTCGTCGTCGAAGCTGGACAGGCTGTCCAATGGCGGCTCGGAGCCGTCGAACTCGACATCGAAGCGGAAGAACTCACCGGATTGACCCACCTTCTTCTGTGCGACGACCCGCCGCCAGTCGTTCTTGTTGCGGTTCCGGAACACTCGCGTCAGGCGGAAGAGGAAGCAGTCCCACCACCCGCCGCCGGACGAGCTCGAGGAGGAGCCAGTGCCCAGCGAGGCCAGAAGGCTTGGGTATGGCGCTTCAGGGAAAAGGAAGGCCACCTCTTGCAGCGCGATCGAGGACGGGTTGTTGACCACTAAGCCGCCGTCCTGGAAGGTGCCGAGGCCGTCAATAGACCAAGGCGTGAAATAGCTATGGTATTGTTAGTGGCGTCTCGCAGCACTCGGCTGTAGTTACTCTTTGCGCCATCCAATTATAGCATGACGAAAAGAGAGCGAGACGCAAGAAGAGAAGGGGAAAAAGAAAAGAAGGAGAAAAAGAGAGAGAAGAAGAGAGAGAGAAGAAGAGACAGAGAAGAAGAGACAGGGAAGAAGAGACAGAGAAGAAGAGAAAGAGAAAAAAGACAAAAGAGGGAAGAGAGAAAAAACAACAAAAAGAAAACAAAAAGGACTGGCACGGACTACGGAGCAGCGGTTGCACATCGGACACTGCAAACCGGATTAGCCATCTAGTCACCGGAAGCCACAGGCCTCGCATAGAACCACGCTGGAAACCACAAACATCTCCCACAAAGCCACGCGGTCCCCATCGGCGGTCGTCTTCAAGAGTTCATAATCTATACAGTCCGTTAGCATCGGCTCGCGGGCTTCGAATGGCCTCGACGGAGACGGGGACGAAGACAGGGAGACGGGGAGGCTACCGCGATCGCCGGTCCGCTGGCCCACTCCGTTGTAGCTGGTGAAGATGCAGGCGCTTGCGTCTTGCACGGTAGCAACCGTCATGCCAACCATGGCACCCATCGTGTCGGCCGCCGAGTAGTCGGCGATGCTTCTGCCGGAGCCGAACATGTCTCGCAAAGCCTTCTCGATGTGCTTCGACGGGTACCTGCTGTCGAAGAGAATCAAGGCTGCGGTACGCACAACTGTGGCAAAAAAGGAGATCCGCATCATCAGTCGTATGAGAGGGCCTATGATGGGAACAGACGGAACCCGGCGAGGCGTG